TTGCCAAAGAGGCCCATGGTATAAAATGGCTGTCTGCTTCCACGTCCTTCCTTGTGGCCCTGATCCGCCCAACTTGAGCACGTGTGTAGGTTTACTCCCATAAATAGGCCCACTCATGGGTGTAAAGTTTCCGGGGTCTGCTGGATGGGGGGGGGCCTATGTTTGTAGCATGGAAGTCTTCACGCTGTGTGTAGCCTGCGTCTCCAGTACCTTGTGTGTGGCCATTTCAAAAGAAAATGTGTAGAAGAGAGAAATAGGTCAGAGTATATTGGCCAGTGCTGAAACTCAAAGTGGGGAGGACAGCTCTTTCCAGTGGAGAAGAGCAAACTCCTTTCCCGGAGACATCCTGAGTCCATGGGGATAGAATAAAAATACTCCCCCGGCTGTCGGACTCGTCAGTCTCAGGGCCCCAGAGCGCAACAACTTTGTTTTGGAGTTGCAGAAGATTTTGGTCCTCAGGGCTCATGCTAGATTTTTGGTTCTAATCTCAAGAGCTTGTGATTCCCTGCACCCCTCGCATCGTCCCATCCTACCCCAGGCAAATGCAACCACTGCCATTAAAAAAAAAAAAGACTCTATTTTGGCAGCAATTCTACGTTCTAGAAAGAAATCACTTGCAGTATTCTGGGATTCGGGCTTCTGACTAGTCCTGATTCCACCTGAGCATGATCCAGGGCACTGTCCGACCGGCATAGAGCAACCTGTTCTCCAAAGTCGGTATCTTTCCCCTTCCACAAGTCTCATCTCTCTGGCGGGACTGGCTTCTGCCTTAAAATGGTCCTGGGGGGCTTCCTTTGTGTCCGGATAATATGTTAATCAGCTCAAAATGACAGAGTAAGCAGGAACTGCAGCCTCTGTCACTGCACCTCCAGCACCAGCTGTGTTGAGGAAGAAAAAAAAGCATCAGCGTTGTTAGAGAATCGTGGGGCTCATGCTGTGAAATTCATTGCCATCCAGAGCGCCATTGTATGCAAATGAGCCTCTTTGCATGTTCATTTATTTCTGTGCGGCATCACTTCCTCCGTTCCGCACTTGGAAGCGGTTGGGCGCTGGGTTTTGACCTCAACGCGGAGCACTGTACCTGCTGAGGGGTGGGAAACACTACATAAACCAGTCCTTGCGAAGCGGCTTTTGGAAGTGTGGCTAAGTCTGCGGCACTCGTCCCATCGTGTGCGGGGCATCCGTTAAAAAGTGCCTGAGACCTACAAATGAAAGGCTGGCTAAGAAGGTGGCATTATTATTGTAGGCCATGGTGATGATCGCTGAAGGCTGCAGGACAGGGCACATGTTTCCAATGAACGAGACCCCACAGCTGGCTTCCCTTACTCACTTTCCCAAGGACGGAGCTATAGAAATGGCAAAAGAATCATAGAGCTGGAAGAGACCTCAGAAGGTTATTGAGCCCAGCCCCCTGCCCAAGGCAGGACCAATCCCAACTCAATCAACCCAGCCAGGGCTTGGTCAAGCTGGGACTTTAAAACCTCTAGGGATGGAGATTCCACCCCCTCCCTAGGGAACCCAGCCCAGGGCTTCCCCACCCTCCTAGGGAAATAGTTTGTCCTAATCTCCAACCTAGACCTCCCCCACTGCAACTTGAGACCATTGCTCCTTGTTCTGCCATCCCTCTCTAAAGAGACTGTGGGGAGAAGACTGCCAGCCTGGAAGGTTAGGATCCTGCTGCTGTTTGTGGTAACATGTTTCGACTGGTTAGGAAGGTTTGCTCTTGCTGGAAAGTCCTTGCTGGTCGCAGCTGTCTTATTTTGCACTTCTGCTCCACCCGTCATTCAGCCAGCTTTTTCTGCTCCAGCTTAGTAGATTTTCTCTGTTTGTTGGTCTGAAATCCCACTGCTGACACCATCGGGAATCTCTGAGGAAATTAGACGTAGGCACCTTTATGCGTACAGCACTGCAACAGCCCAGTTGCCGGGTGTCTGGTGAAGAGGCGCTAAGCTGATGGGAGAGAGCCGTCCCATCGGCAGGATAAAACGACCTTCTCGAACACCAGTGGGAAGGTAGGGCTGTCTGCACTGGCACATATGTTGGTGTAACTTATGTCACTCGGGTGGTTTATTCTCCCTTCCCCACCCCAATCAAGTGACATGATTTCTGTGGACATAACCTGTAGCGTAGATGCAGCCTAAGCCGTGATCAGCGAGACTTAGCAGGAGCAAATCTCTAGCATGTTTGTTCAGAACAGTCACCGCAAGCAAAAGAAACGAGGAAACCCCCATCTAGCTAGGGGTTCACCCAGCTCTTGACTTTCTCCCTCTGTAGCAGCCCTTTTCATAGCCCCCTTCTCCGCACCTGTGCAGGGGGAGAAGGAACAGAAGCCAGACTTAAATTCTTGCGTACTGTGGCTCCGGGAGTCCCTCTGCACCTTGTCGTGGGGTAAAATGTAGGATCTGGGAAGAGGCCGCCTGAACGGCCAGGGAGAGGATAAAAGCCTTTCATGTCTGTTGCTAATTTTCCATTGCATGGAATCCAGCCTCTGTCAGTAGTGACTGAAAGCTGTTGCCATCTGCTTCGGCGTTTCAGCAGTTCCTTTGGAATGAGGCCAGTTGTCTTAGCTCAGTTCCGAATGAGCAGGTGTCTGCGTCACAAACCTCCCTCCCCCCCCAAATATTTTTGCTCGTTAGGTCATGGACCGCCCTGTTCTCTGTGTTTCGTACAGCACTGAGCATCCTTGGACCAGTCCACTGCAGCATTGGCAGGGCTTGGTCCCTGGTTAGACATCCTCTGCGTGCTGGAGCCAGGGAGACTGATCTCCCCTCTGAACCTAGGAGGCAGGGCATGGCAGAGAAGATTGCATTGCCACTGTCCATGCTGCGGTAGGAAGATAATTCTCCAGGGCTGTCAACCTGGCATCTCTTTGGGCGTGGGCAGGACCCCCAACAGACCAGCCGTTGCTCCACCCATGATCTTCCAGGGTTCTTTTGTCGGTGGCCCCGATACGGAGCTGTGAGCGTGGGCACGTAGCTGGCATAGTTCCCGGATGCCCTGATGCCTGCTCTATCTGCAGAGAGCAGGAGACCTTGGCACATTCCTGTGTTGTGTGCGCCAGGTGTCAGCCCCTCCTTCCAGCTCCTTCAGACGCTCCTGCTTAGCGTCCGCTTGCAGGCAAGCGTGTCAGCCTCCCGCTGGCACTGGCCAGGTTGGCCATCCGCCAGTGCGGTCATAGCAGGGCTTACTTTTGGCCCCTGTTTGTCCCCTATCTCTGAGCAGAGTTCCCCTGGCCTCTGAGCAGTGGCCCCCTCAGGGCTCTCGACTTAAGGTTCCCATCTGGGACTCGCGTGCTGAACCCGAGTCCTCTACTTCTGTATCTGTTTTAGCCTTTGTTCTCCCACTGAATCACATGTGCTCTGTGCCCTCCTCTTCAATTGAGGCAGCTGGCCTTCTGTCCCACACACGTTAGCCCCCCTCACTCCCTCCCAGAAGTCAACTAAGCTGGCATCTCTTCTGTGTATTCACCTTAGAAAAACCCTGCTTCTTGTATTAGCGAGTCTTGTCTGACCTTCGCTCTGACCACATCTGCCTCTCCGATCTGCTTAATAGGGGGAAAAAAATCCCAGTCACTTTGACTTCAGCCGATGACTATCTGACAAAGAACTGCGGAATTAATTTCCGGTAGCTGATAAGTGAACCCTTCTTCCTCCAGACTTGGTCGGCAAGTGAATGAATCAGTCTAGTGAATAGACTTGGGCTAGTGGTAGATCTCGCTGAAACGATAAAAGAATTTCATTTTCTTTTTCATTGCCGTGTGAATGAGCTGTCGGTGTAGATGTCATTCAAGAATCTCTTTGTTATTTTAATGATCCTGCATTAAACCATGCAGGAAATTACAAGGCATGTGTAATTTAACTATTGTGTGTGATATTAGAGCAGGGGAAATTCATAGCTCTCTAGTAATGGGGGGATTCGATATTATTGGAGGTAAGAAGGCAAAAGTGCCAAGTGAGGATTTGATGTTTATAAAATAGAATTTCTCTTCCATTTGCAGTTCTCTTTTGTGGGGAATCTTTTTTTTTTTTTTAAGTGCTGACTTCTTTTCCCATTTGATCTATTGCATGCGATTTTCCTGCATGACAGTTGTTTATTAGCTGATGGTTTTGGTATCCAGCAGGCAGTTTGTATAGCCAGGCAGTGTAATTTGTCTCCAACTTTGTGTGTGTGTGTGTGTGTGTGTGTGTGTGTAATTTGTCTCGAAGTGTGTGTGTGTGTGTGTGTGTGTGTGTGTGTGTGTGTTTTTAAATAAGTCTCAAACTTTTCTTGCCTCCCTGCTAGGAATGTGCCTGCTTAACCAGTGAACATCACTCTTACCAGGTGATGCTTACCGCTTCTGGTTAACTGGCAGCCTGGCCTGGCTTGGCAGTGGCTGCTCCAGTCCGGCCGGTACACCGTATCTCACCGTGACTGGGGGACTGCCCCCTACCTACTCCTGTTTAACCGGTTCAACATAACGTTTAACTGGCTAGCTGATGAAACGAGAGAGCTGCTCAAACGGGAATTGACATCCCTACTCCCTGCCTCGCGTGTCTGTGTGCAGGACAGAGTGTGTTTATGGCTTGCTGCTGCCTACTGGTTGCAGTTGAATTTATGCGGGAGGAGAGACTGCACCTTGGAGGTGCTTGAAGCCTTCCTGTGACATCTGCTGCTGATTCGAATGCTGAGCCCAGCGTAAGATTTGAACGGGTGTTGGGGCGAATGCCAGTTGTCTAAGTGCCGCAGTAAAAATAGACCACCCTTTTCCTCGGGAGCCACGACAGGCAGGGCGCTGTGCTCCTCCGTGGAGAAGGGAGCCCTTGTCCTCAAAACACTGTGGCCTAGCAAAGGTGTTTTTAAGACCGTGCATCCTTCCCTTAGGAGAGTTGAAACAATTGCACTTGACTTTAATTTTGGGGGAGTGATTTAGAGTTCGCAGAAGCTGCCTAAGTGGTTCCCTAAAGTGTGTGTGGGGGGGAGAGTCATCTGAGTAACAGACGTGTTCAAATTTGGTTTTGCAGGCTGCTAAAAGGGTGATCTTGCTGTCGGGAACCCCGGCTGTGTCGCGGCCCGCGGAGCTTTATACGCAGATCGTGGCTGTCCGACCAGCCTTCTTCCCTCAGTTCCACTCCTTCGGACTCCGCTACTGTGATGCCAAGCAGGTACTGGAGCGTCTTAGCGGTGAAACGGTAGCCTCGGACGCGCGCGTTCACGCTGTCCGGCTCCGGCAGGCTGCTAATCTCCTTGCCAGAGTGGAGACCCTCACCCCTCTTGTGTTCTTCCCGCGGGTAGCCTCCGCCTGTCACTTTCAGGAAGACTCTTCTCTTGCTCACAGCAGGGCTTTGAAAGCTCTCACGCTGTGAAGCATTTTGGGCTGTGTGTAAACCGTGTATAGGGGCTGGGGAAGCCAAGCTACTCAATTAAAACCTGCCTTAGCGAGATGCGGGCTTAACAGCCCAAAAGGCAAATCGGTCATCACAGCAGTAGGCGAGTCTGATATGAGAGGGCCGGACCCCGTGGCGTCTGACTGTGATGAGCCGCTGCAAGTTAGAACTAGCCATCTGGAAACCAATTTCTCGTCGTCTGTATGTTCATGCTTGTTTTTAACCGCCCGAGGGACTTGGCCGTTTGAGCACTGGAGCTCTGCTTTTGCTAAGTCCCGAGACAGGGGAGCAATGGAGACTTTAAGCTGCCTTTGTGATCCACCTCCTCCTGATGATTGTAGGGCTGCCGGGCTGGGACCCGGCCTATGTTAGAAACCGGTTCTCAAAGTTCATTGCACCGCAACCCCCTTCTGGCAACAAAAATTAAGACATGCCCCCAGGTTGGGAGACTGAACCCTGAGCCTGCTTGAGGCCCGTTGTCCCAGATGTGGGGGGCCAAATTGAGATTCAGGCTTCAGCCCCATGCCCCGATAAATCGAAGATGATTTGTTTGGCTCATCAGACAGCCAGACCCCAGTCACTTTAAGGAGTCTGGTAGATACAGAGCCGGGACCCGATGCCAATGCTAAATTCTGAAGCAGAATAAAGAAGTGAGTTGCTCTGAGTGTAGGAATCTTGTAGGACCCTGTATCTTTCGTGTTAACCCTTTGGAGTCCCCCAAAATTAATATTTGTAGTGCTTTACCCTTGCAAGAGAGAATCCTACTTTAGTGGTGTGAACACAGGCTGGGGAGCCAGGACCTAATCCAGGCTCTTCCCTCTGGGGCCTTGGTCAAGTCACTTAACTTCTCTGTGCTTCAGCTTCTGTAAAAGGGGGATAAAAGCTTCTTCTTTTCCATAAGGGTTTGTGCAGCTCAAACCACTGGAGCAGAAGATAACAATGTTGGGGCTAAATAGCCTCCTTATAAGCCATAATATTCACTGCCTTTTGTTTTGCTTTACGTGGTTTGGTATTTTCTCACTGTTCTCGCCTGAGAGCTTTGTACCTGAATTCCATCCAAAATGGCTGCCGAGTCCTGTATTCTGATTGTATGTCTGAGAGCTGTGAGCCTGACAATCAAAGCGCCTGCTCTTTCTAGGATGCACAAGTGCATTGCGTTTGACTAGCTCATTGGCTCCAGTAGTAATGCACAGACACTGTTGATTTAACGTGAGGTCACGCTGCATGGGGACTCGGGCTAGCAGGACTGCAGTTGTGTTAGCAAAGTGCAGCTTTACCCGGCAAAGACTCGTAGAATCCTAGAACGGGAAGGGACCGCGCGAGGTCATCAAGTCCAGTCCCCTACCCTCACGGCAGGACCAAGCACCCTCTAGAGCAGGGTTTCCCAATCTATGGGTCAGGACCCAAATATAGGTCGCCATTACATTTCAAAAGGGTCGCCACGTGTCTCCCCAGGTGGCTCTTAAGAACCATTCACACATTTTTTAAATTGTCCTGGGTCACCAAGTCTTCCCGAATTGTCAAAATGGGTCCCCATCTGCTCTAGACCATCCCTGACAGGTGTCTATCTAACCTGCTCTTAAATATCTCAAGCGATGGAAATTCCACAACCTCCCTCGGCAATTTATTCCAGTGTTTAACCCCCCTGACAGGTGGGAAGTTTTTCCTAATGTCCAACCTAAACCTCCCTTGCTGCAGTTTAAGCCCATTGCTTCTTGTCCTACCCCCAGAGCTCAAGGAGAACAATTTTTCTTCCTCCTCCCTGTGACACCCTTTTAGGTACTTGAAAGCTGCTATCGTGTACCCCTCAGTCTTCCCCAGCCACTCTAGGGTCCATTGACAGCTCTTGGGGTACCAGGACTGTCCCCTTTCTTATGACAGTTCAACATCCTCCCTGACATTATCAGCCTGTCAGCCACTAAGCAAGCTTTCTCCTCTGAACTTAGACCAGCCCGTCCTTTGCCTTGTAAGTTAACAGGTGCATCCCACTCCCCTGGAATCATTCCCTGTGCTGTCCGCCCCAGTGCTGCACAATACCGGATCTGCTGTCCCCAAGGAGCAGGCTACCCCCAGCTTGTACCATTCCGCTCCGGACCTGTACTGTCCTTGACACCACCGCCCTGAAGTACAGCGACAGTGAGGAGGAGACATTTATTATCATCGTCTAGATTCCAGAGATAGTGAGGATATTGGAAATAGGGCTTGTGACGGACCGGGCCGTGTCTGGGCACAGCTGAGGGCGTCCGCTCAGGGCGAATTGCTCAACTTCGGAGCTCCTTACAGCCCCCAGACTGGTGACCTCTCCAAACAGGCCACAAACCAGTCCCACAGAGCGCTTCAGCTGCCTGCCTGAAGCCTCGCGAGCAAAACCCCTCTGACACCCCAGCAATATCCGCACCCCAGATGGCCCCGGGCCTCATACACAGGTGGGGGGTCCTAGCACCCAATCCCACCTACCCCAAACAAGTTCTGTCCGGTTCCAAGAAACCAGCCACAGATCCCTGATCAATTTACCCTCTGGATCCTACCCACAAATCACGCTGGGCCAATCCTTTAGCATCTAACAACTAAAGGTTTATTACCACAAGAAAGAAAAGTATGAGAGTGAGGTTGCTAAAGAATCATACATTACATACAGCGAATCTCCCAGTTCTCGATGCAGGCTCTAGCAGAGCCGTTACAGTTGCTGGCTTAAGAGTCCTTGTTGCACATTCTAGGATCAGGATGGGTCCACGGGTCTTTCCGGCTCTTTGATCCCTGCACTGCTGCCTCTGGGATGAAGTGCTGAGCTGAGAACCAAGATGGAGTCCACCACATGGCCTATTTATCCCTCCTTCCTGGTCTCTTCTTGGCTACAGCAGGTCACCTGGCCCACGGCTACTTCCTGTGTTCCCTGCTGGTA